TTTGTAAACAAAATTGGATTAATATGAGAATATATTTTAAGTGATATTTGATTTTTGAAAATTGAAATTAAACGATTTTAACAATTGATTAATTTAGAAAGTGGTGTAAGTCCATTTGCAGCCTGTAAATATACATTATTTTAGTTAAATTAGCTTAAAAGTAATGTATATAATTAAATTACATATCGATAAATTAATAGAAACATTGTCAATCTTTATATAATTAATGAATATTTTTAAATTAACTAATATACAAACCTTTAATTTTCTCAAAATAACAGAAAATGGACTTACACCACTCTCAAAATAAACGGTCCATATATTAATTATATATAGAAATAGAACTAAGATATACCCAGCAAGATTTAATTTTCCATAAATAGTTATATTTACTCCATACAAATCTTCTAAAATAACTGGTTGAATACGAAGAACCCCATCAATGATTTGAACGAGATACGGATGATTGTCATTGTGATAAATACAAAATTCGTAATCCTAAGATAAAAACACAAAAAATTAGACAAATCTTAAGTTTTCCATTTAGATTTCTTATGTATCATCGATTAGTATTAAATATTAAAAATTCGTGCTCACAGGTTCTAACGGTATTTTTACATCGCGAGACCAAAGCGATTCATTTAAGTAATTAAAATCTTCGTTTAATATCAATTGGCCTTTTTCAGGATGTGGACTAATTGTTGATTTAACGGGAGATGCAATTGTAGGTGTAACAGGCGATACAATTGTAGTTTGTTTTGAACTGTCCGATGCTGTAAAAAAATTATTAAATAAATATAGAATTCATTTATTAGAAAATAATTGAATAATAATAATAATAATAATAATAATAATAATATCGCAAATATTAAAATTTATTTGACCTCTAATCGTATAACTTTGATTTTGTTTTTTAAATGAAGCGCCATTAAATTGCACGTATATCCAATAATTAATAACATCTCCATTTTGTATGATAAGATCTTTTTTTTCTAACGTCCATCGTCCATTTTTAGCTCGAAAAATATCATCTGTTAATTCTCCAACTTCCTCCGATAATATTGGATTATTTACATTTCCATGAAACGTAAAATACTGCAATCCCGGTTCATCTGTTAACAACAGACATATATTTAATATTAAAACAATAAAATTAAATATATATATATAATTGAATAAAATACAAACCCTTTTCTTTTCAACTTGAATTATAATATCTTCGATAAATGTGAATCGTAATTAGAAACTATACTCGATTACTAATATGTAAATAGTAAATGATCCATGTAGTATGACCTAGCGATAATAATGATTACGTCGTTCAAAAAAAAAAAATGTTCTTTCTTCTTTGCTTAACGAATATCGATTATATTTTATGATCGCAAGATCGAAAAGTTCGGGGATTTACAGGTAACTCCCTTAGATGATGCATCATTCTTCCAATGATTTATAGTGAAAATTTTTATGATTTATTTGTAAAATTTTTCAGGGGAGACATTACTTTTTATTTAAAATAATTTAAATAACATAATAGCAATATGTAATATTTTATTTTCAATTATTAATAAGAATTATTTGTTATATACAATAAAACAATTAATTTAATTTACCTGGTATAGAAATACGTAATCCTTGTGGTTTAAGTACTTCAAACAACGGTTCTGGTATTTTGTAAGATTTTACTAATACTATAGTAATTAATAAATTCAATTTGAGTAAAATTAACGTTGAAATTGCATTATTTTTTAACGAATACATTGCTTTTTGTTTTTATTAACTTAGTTTTTATTCAAAATAAACACACACTTTATTCAAAGAATTTTGCACACGCGATACTGATTGATGATTTAAAATAAATCGAAATAATCTCTATTTACAAAACACTGATAAACTTTAAGAATATACTCAAGCTTGTATCTTCTCTATTCATTTACTTTCATACCATCCCATCTCTTACAATACTCCCACCTCTTACAATACCCCCACTTCCTACACCACCATATATATATATATATATATATATNAATTTTAAAAATTGTTAAAAAAAAAACATATGTGAAAAAAGAATTGATGACACTCAGAACTGTTATTGAATTATTTCTATATATTTGAATTTATTTTAATACTTATGTTAATGTAATCAAAAAACAGGGTGTCCCATTTGAATCGATCCATTTAAATATTTTCGAAATTGTTGATGATAGAAAAAAATGTGTTAGATAAAAGTTGAATGGTTTAAGGGGGCACATTATCTGATATTATTAATTTTTTGCGTAGGTGGACGCGTAAAAGTCACACGAAGATCAACTTTGATATATTAGTATATTTAACTTTTCATATAGAGTAGGTGTTCAATAATAAATCCTTCAACCTACAAAAATTTCGAAGATATTTAAGTGGATCGATTTAATCTTAAGTTGCCCAGAAATGTTTGTACCCCCCCCCCCTGTAGAAAAATTATTTGTATTTAATAAAAGGATTAATCAGTAGGAGCTTTTCGGGCAACTCAATATAAATACTAATATACTACCAAATTAGTATAATTATATTAAATATATAATAATAATAATTTATTAGAGAAATATATATATATATATATATATTTAAATACGGAATACGCATAATTATTTAAAATTAATTAAACTTAGAAAGAAAACATTACATATATAAATTATAAAACAACAATTACTCTATTAACTTCCGATTAAAAAATCTGTAATTATTAAATGGCTACGTTGCGTTGGTCTCGTTTTTTCTTCCGAAGAAATACAAAATGACGAGCCTGTTCTCACGTAAGTCGGTTATTTAATAAATGAACCGTAGTTATAAAGTAAAAGTAGACTTTGAGAAAAATATCCAATTCAAATAAGTTCACTGAAGTTCATTGAAGACGCGATGATCTGCACGTAGCCATTTTTAAAAAAAAGCGGGTAACTGGCACCTCAGGAAAGTACATAGATTTGTAAGCACCCGCGTAAAAATATCAATTTCAGTTATTAAGATTATTTCATATTTTTTAATCGTTGTTAAACAATAATTGATAATATAATAACAAATATTTTATAACTGAAATTTTGTGTTCCTTTAACTTTATTTTTTGTCTACACTTTAATAAATGTTTATCAATTTCTCACAATTGAAAAGAAAATCGAGATAAATTTTTACGACACAGTTTGTCGTTTTTATTCATACGCTACTGTTGTAGTTGCTTATATATACAATCCAAAAATTAAGAGATCACGCATCATAATGATACATACGTATTGCCTAAAGGTTAAATAGTGGAAGATTTTATAAGCTTGTTTTAATCTGTTAATGTCAAAGTGAATTATATAAGGTAAGCAATATTGTACGTAATAAAATTACTAAACAAAATAAAAGTCATTTTGAATGGAGTAACGTCAATTTTTATTGATCAAAATCTAAAATAAACAATCAACTTTTTCAACAACTTGTTCTATTTCTATTTTTTTTTTTTTTTTTGTATCTGCGTAAAATCTCTAAAAAACATTTATTATTAGAATTTAACCAATAATATGTGATTGATAGAAAATGATTAATGCTTGATCATCATAATTTTTAATTAAGTTTAACTTCTTTTTGACTCTATGCACATTATTTATTATATTATTTATAAACACATTGACAATAATCAAATTTTGTTAAGGATGATAGCAAATTGGCATTTTAAAAAAAAGAGAAGGAGAATTAATGCAATGAATATTTTTGTACAGATAAATAACTATGACGCAATTAAAATACTATTCAATATTATCCAGAGTAATAAGACAAGTTTATTGCAATGGTAAAGGAAAGAATAAATTTATGTCGACACAAGGCCCTAAAATAGAAACCAAAAGTAATCCTGATCCTGTTCAAAACTTAGGTAAAAAATAAATGATTCATCTAAGAAGAAATAAAAATTTTTATAATTTTATAATTGAATGATTGTGTGTAGGGCCTCAAATGTATGCTCCTACCAATCTAGATAAAAGGATGTTAGTATGGGTGAAACGATATCCATCTATGGCTGAAGTACCTTCGCAAGTGACGTAAGTTTGATGATAATATTAACGTTATTATAAAATATCTTTCGTTATTTGATTCGTATATTATATTAATATTGTATTATAATATACTCTAGGAATAACTTACAATTTTCTTTCTTTTTTTTGTTTATTCTCAATAGACTTGATTGTATGTTGCAAGCACGATCCAAAGTTAGAGTACGCGTATGCAATATTATGATGGTAATCTCTCTAATAGGATTTATAGCTGCCGCCATAAGCGGAAAAAGAGAAGTAGCATCAGGAAATACGCTTTTTAAAAGAAATCAAGATTGGCAAGAGAATTTACGTAAAGAACATGCAGCAGCTACTAATACAAATAATAGCTCTTAAAATCTATATCAATGTTGTTTTTTCATTCAATGGATATTAATTAATATAACATGATAAAAATTAGAATATACGAATATATACTTTTATTATGTGCAGTATTTTAAAAATCGTTAAGTGTTATCGCTCAATGATATTAGTATTTAGACTAGTTTTGAAAAATAGTCTCAACTGTATTTATTACACGTAAAAGTAAAAGCTATTTTTATGAAGTAGCCTTAGCAACAAATATATATATATATATATATATATATATATATTTCAGTACGCAAATTTCTTTATATTTCAATAATATAACTGTCACATGTGCATACATAGATCTACTAAAGTGTCATCATTGTTATAATTACTTTCATACTTACACTGTTATTATATTCGTGTTATTGTCGTGGAAAAATATTTTTTTCAATTCAAATGTATTTTGTTTGTAATTGTTTGATGTTTTCATTTGTTTCTTTTTATTATATTTTATTTATATAAAACATGTATATATAATAAAGATCATGAATAGTAAATCTCCATTATGTGTATATATAACAAAACAATTTATATTTGTTTGTAGTTTCCAATCATATCATCGTTTATAAAAAGATTAACTTTTTTCACAAAAGCATATAATCATATTTTCATTATCTACATTAATTAAACTTTAACTTCTTTATTATACAATTAAGTAACTTGTACATTGTAACAAGAGAAAGAAGAATTCTTCCATAGTGATCTCTTTTAATTCACAAACCATATACTCTTTATTGTAATAACTATTACATACATTACTTTTTTTTTTTTAATACAAATCATACATCATGCGGAAGAATTCTATTAAATGAAATTCTATGAGGATAAATTCGTTGGTTTGTAATAACCACGACACTTATCATGAAAAGCGTTCATTGTACGGTTTTTCAAAACTTCTTCAACGCTGAGCTCTGATTGTAGTAAACGTAAGTTAGTCTGTTCTTTTCTTAAATTTTTTATAAATATTGGATCATCTCCTTGACTGTCTTTTTGATTCTTCAAATATTTCACTCTTTCTTTGGCAGCGATTAAACATTTATTTATAGCACTTTCTCTTTGTATATGACTATTTTGTACTTCTTCAAATAATCTTTCACACTTCGACGATAAATTTACTTGCCCTTTAAATGATTCAGTTGGAATAGTCTCATTTAACTTGTAAATAATTTTATCATCGAATTGTCTCATTTTCTTTAACGTATCCTGAAATACAAACAGAAGAAAAAACAAATATATTTTTAATGCATCACAGTTCACATACGTAGATTATTATTTAATTATAAAACTATTATTTAAAAATGATTAAAATTAACCTATCAAAAAGAAACATTTTTTTGTAATTCAAAAAAACCAAATTATTTACATTGTTATGAATCATGAGATACATTATTTATGATATTCTAACATTTCTCTTTATTTATAAATTTAAACAAACATGAACTATTGTTTAAAATTAATTAAACTAACCTTAAAAAAGGAATGGTTTTTTTATCTCATTAAAAACAAGTCATTTATGTTGTCATAAATAATGATAAATATTAGTTGTAAAGTTTTGACATCCATCTTTATTTATAAATTTAAATAAACATCTAATCTACAGAAATTCCCATTAATTAAATTCAATTAATACTATCAGCCGGTAAAAATGTAAATCTAAGCATGGGTTTCAAAAATTAATTCTATCGCGTAATTTTAAATGTTGTATATAACATAGACGTTATATAATATAATTATATTAATTATTATAGGATATTCTTCGCTATTACGTTATAATTTATTAACAAATATACCTGAAATTCTAAAAAATCGACACATTCCACGTTAATTGCAGCCATCTTTATTAGGGCGAACTCTGCGATAGCGTTGATATGTTTTTTAAATATTATAAATGCGTGTGCGAGTTTCTAAGAAAGCTTAAGGTGATTTCTCATCAAAAATGTTTCATTGCGCGTCTTATAATTGAAAATTTTTCTTTCGTTATGAATACCATCGTAATGAAATAAATTTCTATTTTTTGGATATTAATGACGCATTCAAATACCCCATTTATTAAATAAATTATAACATAATAATATTAGTGTAAAACGCTTAATTTAAACTATAGGTATTATAAATTTATTTTTTATAGGTATATTCATTTTTAAAACCTTTGAACAAAAATGTCCACACACATAAGGAGGATTTAATTAAAATTAATAATAAATATATATATATATAATTATTATTAACTAAAATCTCTCTTTGATTTATTTTAACGAAGATTTATATTTTAACTACGTTATTAGGTTGGTAAGAAAGTTATATATACTACATACGTATTTTTATTGAAAAGAACAGAGCACCGTA